TTTTCATTTTTTATTGATACAAGTGCTTCTCTTAAGTTTTTCAATTCTGACAAAAATATTTATTTTAAAGTGTTAAGATGAACTTATAATTATTTTAACTTAAATAAGCGTAATTAAAACAAAAAGAATGACCCGCTTCGACTAAGTGACATTAAATCTAAGTTAGTATTGTTTACCTCTTACATGTTCAAACTCTATGAAATTTTTTTTCTCACTCCCTCAATTTACCCTATAAATAATTATAAATTATTCAAAAAAAAAAAAAAGAAGAGCATGCTCATCCTATTTCTCTTTCTTCTTGCTGCTGTATTCTCTTCTTCACTACTTTTTCTTTCTCTTCTTCACAAACCTTAGCTATTTCTTCCTCGCATGTTCTCTAGGTATTATTCATCTTTTCTCTTGTTTTTTGCTTTATTATTTCTACTTTTTTCCCTTTGTTTTTTCCTCCTTTTCCTAGTTTTTCTTTAGTAAAATCACGAAGTTAACTAACTCCATTTCCCTTGTTTTGAACCTGCCTTTTTTTAAATATACATATTATTACATAAAATTTTTTTTTTTACCCACCTCACTTTAATGAAGTGCTCGCTTTGCTTTCGGCTCAATTACTTAACCAACACTTTTTGAGGTTGACGCTTCAGACCGTTTGAAACTTTTGAGAACGCTGGGTCGTGGACATACCTCCGCCTTTAGTTGGCTTCATTTTATCCAATAAAATAAAATGGAGTAATAATTAATAAAAATTCATATTTATTTTTAACTAATAATCATGTTTATTTGAACCTGACCCTTTTGGTCAAGTGGCTCTAGCCATGTCTATAAGGTTTATACCTTCTATTTTAGGACAACGATTCGAGCCAATCCCATGGTAAAAATGTTCAAAAAAAAAAATCATGTTTATTTATTTAAATATATATTATAATTATTTTATTAAAATAAAAATAAAAATTTTAAATGACTTCTGAAGAAGCATGATAATTAATTTTCAATGCCCTTAATTAAAAAGTGCTTATGACTATTAAAATTGAACATGTTTATTATACACAAAAAACGTTATGCAGTATTTATTAACATTGATGTTTTATCTTTTATCACAAGTGAAAAATTTAAAAGAAAATTTTTTCCTCTAATTTT